TTTAAATCCAACAATGGGCATACCAAACCTATCAAAACAATTATTTCAATTATATTAAAACGTGTAGTCCCCCATACATCACACCCTCCTCACAGCCTGGCAAAGAAAAAATTTAAAAATCGCCATAGGCGTCCCCATCAAAGTAGCGTGCGATTCTTCTTTGTGCTATTTTAAAAACTAAAATACTAATCAATTTTTATGCTTCGATTCAAACGTTTTTTTAGCGCAATTTCCTTACAGGAATTGTGATTATTTTTAAGTTTATTTTTCTGGTGAAAGGAAGATGTTCTGTAACATTAGATGTATTTAGTCTGTAATTTACATGGTAGATTGCAAGCTACATGAACAGGCTGGAAGGGACCATACTGTGCTTATTACCCGTGTTATAACAGTCGTTAGTTGTCGGGATAAACCGTATTACCTGCCCCTGCTGAACGCTTCTATGTTATTAAGTTGTTCCTACCCTTCATATGGGAGATAATTTCATTTCCTTTGTAGTTACCCTCCCCTTTATCTAGAAAACCTATGACAGATAGATTTAAAATTTAGGTGTTTTCGTTTTTACCTCGGTGATTTTTGTCCAATTTTGGTTGTTAGCGCGGGCTTGATTTTTGTGCTTTTTGAGATGAATCTACAAGCAGGGGCTTAGCTAGGGTTAGTCAAAAGGGGGATAATTCCAGGCTACATCCTTCTTCGTTAAAACTAGAAGAAAATAGATGGAATAGGTCACGCATTATTTAGACACATGGGAAGTACAAAAGTATGGGTTTGGAAAAAAATCGTAGAGTCACAACCAGTGATGATTCGACAGCATGTCTTCGTCAGTAATAAACATTTTTAATATGTTTAAAACATTTCATCAGTTGTTTTTTTTTTAAAGCACAATTCGTTGTTTTTGTCTTCAGAACATAGATTAATGAACTTCATGGATAAATAATGGGTGATTGTTTTAATTCCACTTTAAACCAAAATTAAAGCTAGTGGAAAGGCTGTTATTTAAAAAAAAACACTTTAACCTTTTTTTAGATTGTTCCCACAAGTGAATAAAGCGGGAGTGATCTCCCCATAAACGTTGTCGTATATTCTTATACAACAGGAATGGGAATGGCACTTCCAGTACAATCGGGCTATAAACATGTTTTTATAAGGTTTTTAATACTAACATTTTTTTTTTACCTAGAATAGAATCGAGAAGAAAAAAGAGTTGAACCCAATTGAACGAAAATAAGGTGTCTATAACAGAGCGGAAAATGTATACTTTATAATGGAAACAATTATTAATCAAACAGTTTATTTAGCATCTGATTAAGTCACATTTTATGTCGAATTTCATTATCGTTGAGTCTTGACCTACGTGAAAAAATTAAAATCCATCGGACCGGTGAAAGTGAAATTTTCAATACATCGAAAGTAGCGTTAAGCACTACTTCCGGCCACCGGAAATCAACCAAAATTTGAAAGAATCAAGTGAATGAGATATTATATCTAGATTTAAAATTTCGTCCGCCTAAGTGAAACTTTACTCAAATTATCGTTGTTTTAGAATAAAGAAATACAGTAAATTATCACTTTCGGTTATCGGAGGTCAATCAACGTTTATTGTGTTCACGCAGGAATAGACTTAAGTACCACTTCCGGTTACCGAAAATCGTTCACAAGTTTATAGAAGCTTGCGCATACAATGTAATCGAAATTTTCACGTACCTAACTTAAACGATGCTCTAGTTATCGGCTTTTGAGAAACCGGAAGTAGAGTAGTACCACTTCTGGTAAATGGAAATCGCTCAAAATTTGTTACAGAATTACAAATTTGATATAATAATTATATATGTCGTCAGTCTAATGGAAACTGTACTCAAGTTATCTTGTTCACAGCCAAGCACACAGTAGACAGACACGAGCGAAATTGCTAACCCAAGTTTTTCCGTTCCGGAAGGATGTAAAACGTCAATACTTGTCAAAATCTCGATTTAGTTTTTGTGCGCTATTACTATGCATCTTTTATATTCCGTATACGATAAAGCAGTGAGCTGCAAAACGGCGAAAACTGTCAAAATATCTGTTAATTACTCAGCACGATTACAATACTTCCTCTTTACTCTGTATACGACAGTATACGTGAAAGTAAAAAAAAAACGACTGTTAAACTTAATACTCCCTTTTACTGATTGCATTATCTCCCTTAATAATTACTTCTATAAATAGAAGTTCTAAATATAGCTATCAATTTTCGACCTTATTGTCATGTTTCCTGTGGGTGGAGCCTAATCGGTGTGGTGGGGAAAGGGACTGTAATTGAGTGGTAGATATGGGGGCAGGGAGTAGAATCAAAATATGTCTACGACAAATTCCCGAATGGACATTTGCCTGAATGTGACGAATGCCCGAGTGGGACAAATGTCCGAATGTACACTTGCCCGAGTGGGACAAATGTCCGAATGTACACTTGCCCGAGTGGGACAAATGTCCGAATGTACACTTGCCCGAGTGGGACAAATGTCCGAATGTACACTTGCCCGAGTGGGACAAATGTCAGAATGTACACTTGCCCGAGTGGGACAAATGTCCGAATGTACACTTGCCCGAGTGGGACAAATGTCCGAATGTACACTTGCCCGAATGGGACAAATGTCCGAATGTACACTTGCCCGAGTGGGACAAATGTCCGAATGTACACTTGCCCGAGTGGGACAAATGTCCGAATGTACACTTGCCCGAGTGGGACAAATGTCAGAATGTACACTTGCCCGAGTGGGACAAATGTCCGAATGTACACTTGCCCGAGTGGGACAAATGTCCGAATGTACACTTGCCCGAATGGGACAAATGTCCGAATGTACACTTGCCCGAGTGGGACAAATGTCCGAATGTACACTTGCCCGAGTGGGACAAATGTCAGAATGTACACTTGCCCGAGTGGGACAAATGTCCGAATGTACACTTGTCCGAATGGGACAAATGTCAGAATGTACACTTGCCCGAGTGGGACAAATGTCCGAATGTACACTTGTCCGAATGGGACAAATGTCAGAATGTACACTTGCCCGAATGGGACAAATGTCAGAATGTACACTTGCCCGAATGAGATAGATGTCCGAATGAGAAGTATGTTATCCGAAAATATGTTACAGAAAAATTATAGAAAACGGAACTACTTTATATGGAGGCATTGTCCATTGGTACAGTGATCAGTCACTGAGTCAGTCTCAGCCTTAATGGGTACCTGACCACAAATTGCTAACGTCGGTTATCATAGAGATCTGAAATCTAAGAAATTCCTAAAGGTTTTAGATGGGTTTAGATGAAAGCCTAAAAACAAGAAAGTAAAACTACTAAAACACAAATCCGTACTATTTCAAGTGCACTGTACTTAGACAATTATGCTTTTGACATTTACTGTCGGTATCACTGAATCATTGGCCTGCTGGGTCGATACACATTTTTTAACCTTACGGTAAATTCATTATTATAGAAACCAGGAAGTGAAAGATAGCTCGTCATTTGTGGGCGAACGTTTCAAAATATACACAGTCATTTATGGACGTTCTTCTCCTGCCTTGATGTTTACATTGTAGCGGGTATTTTAGTACCCATCCATCTACTCCATAAAGTCTCATAACATTTTCATGGACCATATCCTGATATTGTATGGCATTTCTACGAACTCGCTCCACTTGCAGTAAAGAAAAAAGGTTGTACTTTTGAATCTGTCGCTTAGTTAGTTAAGTGGAGTTCACTGTGAACTCGGGATCCGAACCTATGACTTTCGGGATAGCGATAGTGTGCTCTACCGTAAGACCACCCTCTTCACATTCCGGCCACATCACACAGCGACCTAGATCGTTAGAAAAAAACAAAACAAAAAATACAACGTTTATGCCATATAACAAAGTGTAACAAAACACCAAACCAGCCGTATAACTTTTACATTTTTTGTATTACCTCCCGACAAAACTTCAAACCACATACTACTACGGAGAAAAAAAAGTCTGTAAGAAATACTGTATGCAAACGTCTTTATAGTTCAGCTTAGTTCACAAAGGTACTGAAATTCATATCATTTTGCGCTGTAAAGCTCAATGACACGCAAAAATACTGCGGATCGTCGTGAGATTTGTGGCATAATTGTGATGTAATACTTGTCGTGAATTCTTCACCGTACCCGGCGAAATCAGCCCACGAACTATCTAAAAACTTACTTGGTTTATTTACTGCTGGCGAGAGAAGTTAACGTGAATTTTACCTTTTAAAAAAAATTGAAACGTTTATCTGAATTTTATAAGAGTTCCGGGGATAGTTTTCAACGTTATCATCTCTTGATTTGGTTATTGGTGATGGGATAATGTGTGTCTCTTGCGAATGGCGAGTCACGAAATAAGCTGTAGGTGATACGGATTGATCGTACGGCTCTCGTGCAGATTGGCCACTTTAATTCACTTCCTTCTTCACGGATTGACAACAACAACAGGCAAGTGGAGGTAGCAATGTGATGTTTATGTAACATTACTTCCGGGACGGCGTGGTCGAGTTGTAAAGCGCTCGACTGCTAACCCGAAAGTCTCGAGTTTGGAACTCGATGTGAACCTGACTGACATTTAAGAAAGTAAAGGCTGTTGAACATACTGTTGATATTACTAAGCATTTATATTCCATCGTCAAAATGCAGATAAACTCTTCTTCATCTGCCCAATGGAGCATCAGTCCGAAACAGAATTTAACTTTTACATTACTTTAAGTATAGGGCACACACTTTAAGTAGTGTTACAATAGTTACACGTGTATAGAGCACATATTTACCTATCGGATGTGTTGTTACACGTGTTTAGGACAAACACCTGTCGGATACATTGTTACACCCGGACACTCTAGTACAGACACACCCGGAGTGTTAGTGTTTATCTTGTATTTTAACGTAACTATCAGCCCCTGTGGGGAGGGGGGGGGGGATTCCCTCAGTTTTATCTAAAGCCCTTAGTGCGTTCGTGTGATAACACATGTGCATATGGTTTAAATGATAACTTACAAAGTCTGCATTAGGTAAGTTGTAATGATAATTTTTAAGTCAGTTGTCACTTGTAGGTACTGATGACTTCAGTCATTTGGTGACTGTTTGTATTGATGTCTGTATGTCAAGGTAACTGTAAGTCAGTTTTAGCTCGGTTGTATTGATGACTTTAAGTCGGTTGTAGTTTCATTTTATGGATGACTTTAAGTCAACTTTAGTTTGGTTTTATTGGTGACTTTAAAACAATTTTAGTTTCATTCTATGGATGACTTTAAGTCAATTTTAGTTTACTTGTATTGATATCTTTAGTTAGTATATTCATAAGTTTGAGTTAGATTTATGTAGGATATGTTGATGTCTGTATGCCAACTTTGTTATAATCATCACTTAAATGGACATATGATACATGACGTCACTCACTATGGGGCTTCATATGTGTGAAGATGTGTTGCATATGTGAGCGTTAAGAATGTGCTGTGTTAAGTGAAAGTGACGGGGTGAGACGACCCGGGGTAGGTATTTTGTCTGAATTTTTCTGGACGATCCTCAAGTCCACATTAACTATTTTACTCCCCCATCTCTACGTCGACACGCCTCTTGTAAGAACTTCAGCGTCTACTAATTTTTACTAGAATTTGTCTACAAATTTTAAAAAATTGGGATTCACACAGAGAAAAATCTGCGTCAAACATGTTTTTTTCTAGTGTATATGTGTTGTTTGTTAAACGTTAACATTCACATCATATAACTCAATGTTTAAATCAATATGAATAAAATAATAATACGTGTCGTTCCCCTACATGCATATGTGGATTAAAATAGTCAAATCCCTAAGTGGAAGAAACGGGGAGATCGAAGTGAAATATTGATATTGATTTATTGATATTTTCTGCTCCAGGACTCAGTGATGGAGCCCTAATGTAAAATGTGTGTTGAAATATGAACATTTGGTTGGGGTCGTTAGTTTGTTCACTATTGACCCCACACAGGGACTCACTAGTGGGGACCTAGTGTAAAATGTGAACATTTTATTGGGGTAGTTAGTTTGTTCACTACAGACCCACGCACTTTCAGCTATCGGGGTAGTTGGAATATTGAGGCATAGGTTTAATATAAGTGTAGGTTTGGCAGGTTTTGGAATATAGAGGCATACATCCAAACATAAGTGTAGGTTTGTGCGGATTTGATATATGTCCATGTAAAAGTTTTAGCTTTTTTATATTAGGTGTATAGAGAATGTTTACCTAGTGTCAATGGACGTTTGTTTTTTGGATTTAGAATAAAGGGAGTAGGGAAATAGGAGCAACGGTCGTAGTTTTGTAGGATTTGTGGGGATAGGAGCAAAGGTATAAATGACAGGATTTGAAAAGGTGGAACTGTTACCTTTGTCAATGAATTTGTAAGAGAATTTTAGATGAAATTATGTAAAGTTTTTTTTTTAGTTTTTATTTGTCTTTTACGCGCATACATCACCTCAGTGTCAGTCTTGTGATTCCAAAAAATTAAGAACCGCTGACAAAATGACATTGGTTTTTAGAACCGCTGGTAAAATCAGGCCTGCTTTAAAAAAAAAAAACTAGTATCGGATATAAAGAGATGAGAATCACTGATAAAATCATAACCGTTTGAAATCTGTGCGAATATCGTGATATTGAACTGTAAACAAATGGACCGTAGGAATCGATCAGTCGATAGATCGATATTGTCCTCCCCATGAATATAGCTAGCGAAAGTGAGGGGTGATATGTTCAGCGGGGAACGACACACATTGTAAATTAAACAATATGAAACTTGCTCAAGCATAACACGAGATTATAAATTAAAACACAACACATGACCATAAACACAAGTCCGGCCCAGCTAATCTAAGGTTTTATGGTCAGTTGGGCGATCAAGTGGGTGGGGGGGGGGGTATTTTGTGTTTTCATTAGTTGTTTCTTTTTATTTTATTTACTCCGAGCTTGCTTATGGTCAGAGTGTTGCCAATTTTACCGTAAGTCACAACGATTGTTTAGGTGGGCTTATTGTCAAATCGTGTGACTTAATTTTGACCTAATTAAACTGCTGCGTTTAAACAAACAAAAAATCTGCCATTATATATATCAGTACCGGTAATGTATTACAATCTAAGACATACTAAGTAGTGATCACACTACTAAGTAGTGGTCACACTAGTCATTAAGGAATGACGGTCACTAGATGCTACAACGTTGGTCCTTTTGACGGTTGGTACACGACTGCTCACTCGAAAGTCTCGAGTTCGGATCCCGGCTCAAGTCCATAGCGCGTCTCTGAGCTGACTCAGCTACGATGGGTACCGGACTCTGGGCAAGTAACGGCCGGGCGGCATTTGTACTGACCACACTATCCCTTCACATGCCGAGGTCACAGACACAGTTGAATTTACTCCCTCTGTCCTATAGAAGGGAAGGTTTACATCCAATAACAAAAAGACAAATCCCTAGATATTAGCGATCAGCTGAGTTAGCGGCCACCAACCTTACAGCCGACTTAGAAGCTAACAACGAACAACAGTATAGACATTTCTATAGGAACATTCGCGGTATGAAGCTTTAGAGATGTGTAGCTTACATTAACTTGATCGGCTTGAATCGAATATATCTGGTTTTAAATGTTGTTAGGTTTCCAAAAAAACTATGAGTGTATTTTTATATTTCCTAAAGAATAAAAAAAACTGGAAAATAAAATACATAGATACATTATATCCTCACCTTTCCAGTTCGTGCCCGATATTTGGGGTAGATAAAGTAGAGTGCTTCTGTTTCAGCAATATCCCCAGCCGCCATTTTTTTCCCTAAATTGAGCTGGTTGGACTCAAATGCTACAGACTAGAGTCCAGCTTTGAACTTGAGGCTTCCTGGTTAGCAGTCACTAGCTCTACCAAACGACCACGCTGTCCCTATATAACATTAGTAATAGGAGAATATACATTATTCTCCTATCTTATGTAGAATACATTATAATTATTTCTTGAGCTTCGGTGCAGTTGTTGTGATTAAATAGAATTTATATATTTTTTATTGATACATTTAAAGTTTGTTATTGCAAATGTTTTTACGAATATGTTTTTATTCTCCATTTTATTGGAGTTTCGACATTCGGCCACTGACAGTTATGTAGCTTGTGCGCTTGTTTTTGTTGCTGATTGGGTGGAGACTTTCCCTTATGACATGAAGACATTAACGTTCCCTAAGGCTAAGATGACCTTCAACTCGCCGTCGTGACACTTCCTGTTATTTTACCACGTTTTCTTTAACTTGCTTTCGCGTCTTTCCAATCAAATCTTGCGATCGAAATTTCGGGCACTTCCCAGTTAGCTAGCGCGCTGAAATTTTCAGGGAAGCTTTGTTTCCGATGACAATAGAATATTCAATTGTTATTATTACTAAATTGATCCATGGAAACATTTTATTGATCATTTTAGACCGCTACATATTTCTACAAAAAAACGTGGGGGAAAAGGGTACATAACCCAGTAATTGTAATTTGATGAAAACAAGGTTCGGTACTCTCCCTCTTTTGGCTTACTGAGTAGTGTTCACGTGGTGTTTGTGTACAAACAACCGAAACAACTGGTGGCCAGTATGGGGGAGACGATATGGTCGAGTGGTTGGGCACACGATTGCTAACCCATTCGACACGGGTTCAAGGCACGTGTTTTTTACGAGTTGTCTTCGTTTACCCAAAAAAAAGTGAATGCGAAAAGATAAAATCGATAGCAAGATTTTAATGCAAACAAACAGACAAAGACTAAAAAGTAGAAAATAATTATCATTAAAAAAGTTAAAAAAAAAACCACGTTTTCTGATTGAACTAAAAAATAGAAAATAAATTCTATACATCACAATAATGCAAGCAATCACTCTACTATAAGCGATGAAAAACGTGGGGCGCCGTGATTTTCTTACAGTTTCTAATACTGTTGACTCTCTACAAGCTCCCTAATAAAAGTCAATAGTACTATCTAATCAATAGTAAAAATTCTAACAATGAAACTCTTTACTTTCTCGTATACGAAGTATAGAGAAACTATAGTAATCATGCAAAAAATTGTAATCGAGATTTTTACAAATTCTCGACGTTTTACACCTCCCCGAGTCGGAAAAACATGGTGTGTATGTATGTATGTATGTATGTCAGTGAACACGATAACCTGGATACTGTTACAGCTAGGTTGATGAAATTTCATAAAAAAAGTTTTATATTTAATTTGTAGTTATTTTTCAACTTTTCAGCGATTTCCGGCAACCGAAAGTGGAACTTATTCTACTTTTGGTTTTTTAAAAGCCTACAACTTAAGTACTGTTTCAGATAGATAAACGAAATTTCACGTCAGTAAACAATCTAATTCTCTCCCTTCTTTCAAATATTGAGTCATTTCCGTTGACCGGAAGTAGTACTTTACGCTATTTCCGATTTCTCAAAAAACGCATATGAATTTATAAAGTACAAATTATCCGCACTATTATACACGCATTGTTTGCTGTTCAGTTGGTGCGCAATTTTTTTTTCTCCTAGATTCTCTTATATTTTAAAAAGTTTAAGTAATTAAAAATTGATTTAAAAATCGTGTCTATATCCCCCGTTACCATCGCCCTAGTCTTATATAAGAATATTCGAGAAAGTTTACGGGAGATGGATCCCGCTTTATTTTAATAAATTGTTTAACATTATAACAAGTAAAAGCTCTGTTCTCAATCAAACAATTTGAAGACATTTTAATAAACTGTTTTATAAACGAGATTGTAACAATAGAAGTTGAGGGGGAGGGGGGGAGGGGATCGAATGACGTCATAGTTCCCACGCGAGGATCAATAAGTAAACTGGTGGTTGTACCTGTCCTCACCTGTTCAATATCGTCTGCTGGGCTAGTGTACAAATCACGTGTTTTTATGTTGGTGTTCATGTATGGACAGATGCAGTAGAGTAAGTGAGTAATGAGGTTGTGTACAAATCACCTGTTTTAATGTTGGTGTTCTTTCATTTCATGGACAGCTGTTATAACGGTTAGCTAGTTTTTAATTCAATGCCAACTTAAGCTGCATATTTGTATTTAGACTAGTTGATGTCCTACTTCTATTGATGAACTTTTTAACACTTGTATACTGACTAGTTGTATTGTAGTTGAAATAGCCTCGTGAGCCGTAATGGAAATTTGAAAGTTTGTTTTGTCATGTTCCGTTGTTCAACATTTACAGTAGCCGGTAGTGTTTGTTGTGATTTGACAAAACACATTTGGACACATTTTAATAAAATCCAAAAAGTCATCGACTGAATGGACAATTGTCTGAACAGTAATTGACCGAATTAACAACTGCGTTAAAAGATAATTAACCGAGAAGGCAATTGACCGAAAAGCTAACTGATCAAATGGACGATTGTTTGAAAAGCTAATTGACCATATATATATATATATATATATATATATATATATATATATATATATATATATATATATATATATATATATATATATATATATATATATATATATATATATATATATATATATATATATATATATATATGGAGTTTAGTCTAAATGAAATCGAAAGCTAACGATTTGGTATTTCACATCGTAGCGTTTGATACAAAATTGAGTCCGTGCTTCTACGTTCTAACTTGCAATACTAAATAGAGACTGTGAAACCTTACTTTCATACCTGTGATTTAAAATTGGGTTCGTGGAACCTTCCTTTAAAACGTTTGATACAAACTTATTTTTGTGTTTGTCGTGTCAGTGTTAGGTGTGATGACACATGACACAGGCTTTTCTGTCACTGACATCTGTTGTTGGCACTAATCGCATCAGACTTTTCCACAGTTTGACGGTTTTATCCTTGGCGGCACGGCAGGGTCTACTAGTATGTTGTAAAGTCTGACATTACCTTATAAATAAAAAACAACTAATATACTAGCGATACGTCGGTATAGTTTTGTACCCTGTAATATTATACCATCAAACAAAGCCACGCCATCTTCAATTTACTTTTTTGTATACAATATTGGTATACAATATATATATATATATATATATATATATATATATATATATATATATATATATATATATATATATATATATATATATATATATATATATATATATATATATATATATATTAACCTTTACTGTTGTGTTTTTAATGTTTTAGTTTTATTATTGACGTGTCTCTGTTTAAAAACTACTAGCTGGCAAGTACGAGAACGAGAAGTTGGTGACCTACTTACAAGCCCTATTGGCAACGATTGATGCTGTTTACTGTTTATATATCAAAATAAAATTCAGTATTACTAGGCAAGGGACGCAACTTTTACTTACATTTCAAAAGAAATAAAATTTGAAAGAACGGGTACAGTCTTTACAAAACGAGGTTTAAAATGTAATCTTTTAATATAATAAAACATAATTAAATAGAATTTACTGTTTTTGTACTATGTAGTTAAATAAATGTATTTTATACTCAAATTTATACAAAATGTCATAACTGTGAAATTAAAAAAGAGCCTTTATATTAAATTTAAGTAGCTGTCTTTTAAGAACGAACCGATTCATACTCTCTCTCTCTTTTTGTTATTTTTGGATCCCCTCAATAAAGAGGGACATAGATACAACCGAACGTAATTATTAATCCCACTGTTCACCTTCCGCATACGTGATGGCAAAATATTCCAAAAGATGGAACTCCTCAAAATCCTTCACCCACAGCGTAAATCAGGGTCGAATATCAGACTTGTAAGAGCGAATTGTGGGGAGTTTCGCAACCTGTGGTTATAGAGTAACTATTTGTCGTCGTGCTGCTGTGGTAATGTAGCCTTGGTCAAACAGTGATGACGTCCTATTGTTATATTCCCGTCTATATATTGATGATAGAAGGCTTATATCAATGTGGAATCCAAGCATTAGGATAACAATAGAAATATTCCATTGTGAATTATTTGTGATATGTCGTACAAACTTAAGTAAATTGGATTTTTAAAAATGATTATGATAATATGTGGTTACAATGTTTGCAGCTAATAATTTTTAAAAAATGATTTCATTTTTCATATGGTTTTAAGACTCTTAAATATAAGGATAAAGATAAGAAATTCCTGTGTAATGCGATTTTAGATATTCTTAATGTTTGGATAAAAAAAAGAGTTATTTTATAATGGTACTTAATGGTGCATAGCTCAGTGTATAAAGCTGGTTGTAATAAAAAAAAACCATCACCTTTGAACCTTGGGCTGTAAATTGAAGTTTTATTCATAGCATAATAGCACTTGGCTATTGGCCTTTAAAGAAGGCCTCGTTTATTTTCATATGCTTTTATTTAATTCCCAATGTCTGTCCCTCTTTCTGTTTGTGCCAAATCTTGTCATTCAATTTTCACCCACTTCTAATGCAACATTTTTATTCTGATACATTCGTCTCCGAAAACAACGCAAGAATATCTCATTCTTTTTTTTTCTAGTTAGATATTAAAATTAGTCATTATCTATTAATTAAATGATTACTATATTCGGTAACGAACTGGAAGATACCAGGATTATGTTCCATCTTTAACTTTAGTCATGTGACCACGGTGAGCTGTTTATTCGTGGATGATTTCATGCATGAGAGCTCACCAGAGACTTTAATAAGGGGCAGATAAAAAATGGTTCACTCGTGGAATCTCCAACACACCTAAGCTACTAATTGTTTTACTAAAGAAATCATTGCATTTAAAAGGCTTTGGATTTTGTCCATATAAGCCACGCTAAAAAGTTAACCATTGCCACCAAAAAATGACTATCAAAAATAGGATATGAAACTTAGACTTTATTGAAGAGAGGTAAAGTTGGGATCTACCATAACTGATTTGCATGAAAAGTTATGTATTTTGGTACCTTTAACCCTAAAAACTAACCTGAACCTTAGAGGCGTCTAATGAGTTTTTTTTTTTTTATTTTTTTTTTTTTGGCGTGCATTTAAATATTCAAATATATAGACAACTGAAATAGGTCATAAGTGGTGGGGCTTAACTTTTCACCCGAACACTTTTTTGCATTAGTGGCGGGGCTTATATGGACAAGACCCAAAGCTTTTTACTTTAAAGTTTATAAAATATTGTTATATTATTTTTATTTTTCTTCCTCCAGAAATCCGGCACCAAAACTACGTCAGCCTGACCAGTGGTCAGCCGAGTTCAACGACTTTGTCGCACGGTAAGGAAACTGTCTTTAAACGTGTCTTTGTTTTTCTCTCGCCAAATCTCGTGCTTCAGTCACGTGGTGTCATCATTCCCACCAGTCTAGCCGCGTTAGAGTTGTCACGTGATTTCTAAACTTAGCCCGCTCACATGCTCGCTGCTGCTAAAGTCCTTTGCCAACAAATTGACATCAGTTTTAGTTTTAATTGATAAACGTCCTGTTGGGCGGCGACATTGCTCTTTAGAAAAAATAAACGGCTTGCCATTCTCGGACGCATGCGGCGTTACCATGGCAACCGTCGTCATAATTTTGATATTATATGCACTCTGGAGGGTAGGTGTTGGAGGATGTGATGACTAATTTGGCTGGAGAGAGAAGGGGGGGGTGGATGATGGTTAAATTGTTGACTAGTTGTTAATTTAATTGGAGGGAGGATGTTTTGTAGGTCTGTGTAGTTTGGAGAATATTGTTAATAAACATGGTGGGTATACATAAAGACGAGGGGTTGGGGTGTGATAATTATATAATGGGTGTAATAATGACATAGTGATGTAGTGGTCAAAATATAACATCATGAGGTAGGGGTGTTATAATGACAGAAGGAGGTGGGGTGTTATAATGATATAATGTAGTCGGGGTTCATATAGTCAGGTGGGGTGTTATTACGTCATAATAAAGTATGGGGTGCTATGATAACATAATAAGATGTGGGTGTTATAATGACATAATTAATGAGGGTCAAATAATGACATAATAAGGGGCAAATAATGAGGTTGAAGCTTATTGAGAATGCAATAGTAACCACGATTGTACATCTTGGTTGGCAAGACGATCTCAAGATTTATTTTTCTCTCACCCTGGTGGCCACTGTATATGGGTTGTCACACTACCATGTACGCCTTCATAGTTGTGATGGGACAGCATTGTTTTAAAACAGGTGTTGTGTTTATTTCCTGAAGTGTTGGCACTAATCGCTCCCATGTTTCATTGCCTTCCCAGATGTCTAGTCAAAGATTTTGAACAGCGACCTTTTGCCCATGACCTTCTGACACACCCCTTCATAACACAGGTCCCTAGGGACACCGGCCAGGTATTTTTACAATTGTTTTTAGACACATGCCAGGTATTCTTACAGTTGGTTTAACCAATAGTTTTTAGGCCAGGTACTCTTACATTCTTATATATATATATATATATATATATATATATATATATATATATATATATATATATATATATATATATATATATATATATATATATATATATATATATATATATATATATATATATATATATATATATATATATATATATATATATATATATATATATATAATATATATACACACAGTGCTTTTTTTTGTAAAAAAAATAGGATCTTGTACTCTGTGATGGATTGCCTAACTTTTAACAAATTACTAATATAATAAATCAATAATAAATGTTAAAATACAAGAAAAGTAATAACATTTTCCCCATATTTAAAAAGATGCTGGTACGCTGTACCTGTGTGTACCATCACAAAAAAAGCACTGTATACACATGTATTTATGTATGCAGATGTGCTTGTATATGTAGGCCTATGTGTTGAATATAAATAATGCCAGTACATTCTTACACACATATATATGAACTAACATGTAGTTACCTACTCTTACAAACATACATATGAATGAACATGTACCTACAAGCACACTTAAACATACATATGAATGAACATGCACCTACTTACAATAACATACATATGAATGAAAATGCACCTACTTACAATAACATACATATCAATGAACATGCACCTACGTACAATAAAATACATACGAATGAACATGTCCCTAGTTGTACACATAAACATACATAAGAATGATCATGCACTTCATAACAACATAAACATACATATCAATGAACATGCACCTACGTACAATAAAATACATACGAATGAACATGTCCCTAGTTGTACACATAAACACACATAAGAATGATCATGCACTTCATAACAACATAAACATACATATGAATGAACATGTACCTACTTACAATAACATACATCTGAACATACCCCTTGTTGCCCACATAACCATACATATGACCCATCGTATGAGCAGCTGCAGGCCCAGATAGCCAGCATCACGTCCACCATGGAGAGGAAAGTCTCCGAGCCTGACATCACCACCAAGCACGGTCAGCTCAAGTCCAACCGCAAGTCCAGGAGGGAGACGCCATCTACCTGCGAGAACCTGGCGCTCCTAGAGGTTCTGGATGAGGTAGGTCGCTAGGGAGGTTCTAGAAGGGTTGTTGGGGAGGTTCTAGAAGGGTTGTTGGGGAGGTTCTAGAAGGGTTGTTGGGGAGGTTCTAAAGGGATTAAGTTCTTGGGGAGGTTCTAGAAGGATTGTTGGGGAGGTTCTAGAAGGGTTCTTGGGGAGGTTCTAGAAGGGTTGTTGAGGAGGTTCTAGAAGGGTTGTTGGGGAGGTTCTAGAAGGGTTGTTGGGGAGGTTCTAGAAGGGTTCTTGGGGAGGTTCTAGAAGGGTTGTTGGGGAGGTTCTAGAAGGATTGTTGGGGAGGTTCTAGAAGGGTTGTTGGGGAGGTTCTAGAAGGGTTGTTGGGGAGGTTCTAGAAGGATTGTTGGGGAGGTTCTAGAAGGGTTGTTGGGGAGGTTCTAGAAGGATTGTTGGGGAGGTTCTAGATGGGTTGTTGGGGAGGTTCTAGAAGGGTTGTTGGGGAGGTTCTAGAAGGATGGTTGGGGAGGTTCTAGAAGGGTTGTTGGGGAGGTTCTAGAAGGGTTGTTGGGGAGGTTCTAGAAGGGTTGTTGAGGAGGTTCTAGAAGGGTTGTTGGGGAGGTTCTAGAAGGGTTGTTGGGGAGGTTCTAGAAGGGTTGTTGGGGAGGTTCTAGAAGGGTTGTTGGGGAGGTTCTAGAAGGGTTGTTGGGGAGGTTCTAGAAGGGTTGTTGGGGAGGTTCTAGAAGGGTTGTTGGGGAGGTTCTAGAAGGGTTGTTGAGGAGGTTCTAGAAGGGTTGTTGGGGAGGTTCTAGAAGGGTTGTTGGGGAGGTTCTAGAAGGGTTGTTGGGGAGGTTCTAGAAGGGTTGGTGGGGAGGTTCTAGAAGGGTTGTTGGGGAGGTTCTAGAAGGGTTGTTGGGGAGGTTCTAGAAGGGTTGTTGGGGAGGTTCTAGAAGGATTGTTGGGGAGGTTCTAGAAGGGTTGTTGTGGAGGTTCTAGAAGGATTGTTGGGGAGGTTCTAGATGGGTTGTTGGGGAGGTTCTAGAAGGGTTGTTGGGGAGGTTCTAGAAGGATGGTTGGGGAGGTTCTAGAAGGGTTGTTGGGGAGGTTCTAGAAGGGTTGTTGGGGAGGTTCTAGAAGGGTTGTTGGGGAGGTTCTAGAAGGGTTGTTGGGGAGGTTCTAGAAGGGTTGTTGGGGAGGTTCTAGAAGGGTTGTTGGGGAGGTTCTAGAAGGGTTGTTGGGGAGGTTCTAGAAGGATTTTTGGGGAGGTTCTAGAAGGGTTGTTGAGGAGGTTCTAGAAGGGTTGTTGGGGAGGTTCTAGAAGGGTTGTTGGGGAGGTTCTAGAAGGGTTGTTGGGGAGGTTCTAGAAGGGTTGGTGGGGAGGTTCTAGAAGGGTTGTTGGGGAGGTTCTAGAAGGGTTGTTGGGGAGGTTCTAGAAGGGTTGTTGGGGAGGTTCTAGAAGGGTTGGTGGGGAGGTTCTAGAAGGGTTGTTGGGGAGGTTCTAGAAGGGTTGTTGGGGAGGTTCTAGAAGGGTTGTTGGGGAGGTTCTAGAAGGGTTGGTGGGGAGGTTCTAGAAGGATTAAGTCCATTGGAGTTGGGGGGGAGGGGTTAGCAAGATTAAGTTCTTATGTAGGTTCTAGAAAGATAAAATCATTGGGAATATCTAGATGGATTAAGATGCTTGGTCGGTTCTACAAAGAATAAGGTACTTAGGAGATTCTAGAAGGATTAAGTTTCTAGAAGGTTAAAAAAATTAGGGAGGTTCTAGAAGGATTAAGTTACTTTACAGGATCTGGCAAGATTAATCCTCTAGGATGCTATACAGATACTATGTCCAAAGAAGGCTTCTATAATGATTAAGTCACTAAAGGAGATTTTAGCAGTAGAAAGATGTTGTTTTTTAAAATCCTGCAGATTCCTTTGCCTATTCACAAGAAAATAAAAGTTTAAAATAAAAGGGCTGAAATATTCACTGTGAATGGGTCAAACCACTGCCCGTTTAGTCCCAAGAGCAATATTCACACTAACTTCTGGAACAGATGCATAGGATAGTTTACTAGTATTTGTTGTTTTGTCTGTAAGATTGGATATTCCCCACCCACTTCTGTCTGATTTGGTTTTGTGGTGCCTGTAAGATTAGGTTAGACCTGTCTCCTTATGTCTGACTTGATTTTGTATGTCTGTTAGATTGAATAGTTCCCACCCACTTCTGTCTGACTTGGTTTTGCTATGCCTGTAAGATTAGCGTTGACCTGTCTATGTATGCCTGACCTGGTTTTATAAGTATGTCTGTAAGATTTGATAGTCCCCACTCACTTCTGTCTGACTTGGTTTTGTTCCAGGAAACAATAGTCAACCAGCTGTTGAACCGCTACTCCCAAGATGAGATCTACACCTACATAGGGGACATCCTATTGGCTGTTAACCCTTTCATCTCCCTGCCTATATACAGTGATGAGGTTTGTTAACCCTTTCATCTCCCTGCCTATATACAGTGATGAGGTTTGTTAACCCTTTCATCTCCCTGCCTATATACAGTGATGAGGTTTGTTAACCCTTTCATCTCCCTGCCTATATACAGTGATGAGGTTTGTTAACCCTTTCATCTCCCTGCCTATATACAGTGATGAGGTTTGTTAACCCTTTCATCTCCCTGCACATTCATAACTATTACATATCACAACATATGTGATTGTGTGGCCTAACGGTAGAGCATTATACTGCCAACCCTAAAGTCTTGTGATCTTATCCGGGTTCAGTCAGTAAAACGTCCCTGAATACATCCAGCTCTTGTAGGTTAGTGAATGTAAAAGTACATACCAGAGTGTTGGCACCAATAAAGGAAAATTATGTACAATATTTTTACAAAATTTATTACAAAAGAAGAAAACTTAGTGGAAATATATAACCCAACTAAATGAAACGTACTTGAATACAGTATAAACAATATCTAGATTAAGTACTTTTAGCTGAAATGGGACAAGTGTATTTTAACTTGAATTCAGCTTGCTCCTCTATTTTACCTAGAATAAAATTAGCTATACTGATGGATTGATGTTTGAGCAATTATGTGTACTTTGTTGAAAATAAGGCAAGAAAATTTAGCTTTTTTAGCTTATTAATCAACATCTTCTAATATTGATTATCAAATTAGAGCCAAACTTTACCTGCCTGCCTTGCTGTACAAGATTTTTTACTGGCAGAAGATCAATATCTTATCTCTCATCTGCATTGATTCATCTTCTGTCAACATTGAAATTTTCTGCTCAAAATATTGGAGAGTATAAAACTGTACTCTGTAAATAAAACTTTACAGTAGGAAATATTGGGACAGAGAGTATAAGATTGTATACTGTAAATAAAACTTTACATAGGAAACATTGGGGTAGAGAGTATAAAACTGTACACCGTAAATAAAACTTTACAGTAGGAAATATTGGGTTAGAGAGTATAAAACTGTACTCTGTAAATGCGATTTTACAGTCGTAAATATTGGGGAAGAGAGTATAAAATTGTATTTTGCATGAATAAATGGTTAGAGAGTATTGTAAAAGCGTTATAAATGTAACTTGTTTTATTAACAGAGAAAGCATAGCATTTTGTTTTTAAACATACTATCTTTCCTCAAATTATTTCACTTTTTTTAAAATGTCATTGTAAGTTTTAACATGAATAGCCATGTTTACTCACCTAATCCTATCAACATTTTGACCCCTCCCCCAACTTGCCCTTATTGTAGTATGTGAAGATGTACATGCATGCCATGAAGGCAGACAACCCCCCTCACATCTTCGCAGTAGCTGACCAGTCCTATCAGATGATGATGCACAACAAGCATAGCCAGGTCAGTTTAAATACAGCCAGGTCATCTTTACATATAGCCTTGTATAATTGCTCTTTAGTGAAGTAAAAGTAATCTAGCCCCCACTAGCAAATTATTAAGACCACCACTAGTCTGAGGTAAAAATAAGTCTTAACAGGACTGATTGATTTTTCATAATGACCTAACGACCCCTCACTATTTTACTCAGCAGCCGCGGCAATCACTTGCTAATATGTTGTTGATTTTCCTCAGCTGTTCTGTTTTTATTTTATTGTTCCACTTATTTTACTACTTTCTATGTATATTAGGGAATTTGCTGATTTTGCAATTGTGTTGTTGTAAAAGTGGGTTTAGCCGTAACATCGCTGGGTTAAAAAAATGTCCCTACTGATTACCAACATTAGGGGGGGGGGAGTAAAAACTTCTTGTTGTGTTTTATTTATCAGACAAGAAAAAAGAGGTGGGGGGGGGGGGGGGTTAAAAATGCCTTGTGTTTAAATTATCGACTAGAAGAAAAGAGGAAGCGAGTTGTCCTATTGGATGAAATATTTTGTTTACCTCAGTGGGGAGAGTGGGTCAGGATAGATGTGAGAGTTGTCCTAATGGATGAAATATTTTGTTTACCTCAGTGGGGAGAGTGGGGCAGGATAGATGTGAGAGTTGTCCTAACGGATGAAATATTTTGTTTACCTCAGTGGGGAGAGTGGGGCAGGATAGATGTGAGAGTTGTCCTAATGGATGAAATATTTTGTTTACCTCAGTGTATTGTCATCAGTGGGGAGAGTGGGGCAGGAAAGACAGAGAGTGCTAATCTCCTGGTGCAGCAGTTGACGCAGCTAGGCAAGGTAGGCTACATGCACCTGTCATGTTTAATTAGTGTAATCCCTTTATCCAATCAATATAACAAAATAAACTTTCAATAAGCTCCTATGATTCACACCCCATTTAATGGGAGAATGATCTCTAATAGTTAACCATTTGGACATCGTGGAAAACAGGGCAGATGAAGTAGAGTTCACCTGTGTGTTAGGGACAGTGTGGTCAGGTCTATGCCGAACCACCTTTACTTTTCCTGACATCAACTGCATAGGTTTTGTCGTGGTCAAGTCGGTAAAGCTCATGGTTTCTAAACTGAAAAGTCTCGAGTTTGAACTCTCTCCAGATGAGGCTTGACAGCTGGAGACAGCAACTCTTCTAGGAGAGAAAACCAAAAATCAAACAACTGCTGCCTTGTAGTTTGTTCTCAGTTGGACAAAGGCTATGGAAGCAAATCCAAAAAGAAAAGCCGTCATCTGCCTATATGGCATATAACAATTTGACACATAATACCTTATTGTGTTGGAGGGAATCCCTTCCAACACTATAATTAATAAACCGGGAGTGATCTCCCCTAAACTTTCTCGAATATTCTTATATAAAATAACAGGGGATGGGAACTCGGGCTATAGACATGATTTTTAATCCATTTTAAATACTTAAAGTTTTAAAAATAGAATAAAATCTCGTAGACAAAAGAATTACACATCAAGTGAACGCCAAATAAAAAAGTGCATAATAGTGCGCAATATTATTAGTACTTTAAAAATTTACATTAGTTTTTTTGAGAAATCGGAAGTAGCGTAAATTATTACTTCCGGTCAACGGAAATTACTCAAAATTTGACAGAAGGTAGAGAATTAGATCTTATACTTACATGTGAAATTTCATTTATCTATCTAAAATAGTACTCAAGTTATAGGCTTTTGAAAAATTCAAAGTAGAAAAAGTACCACTTCCGGTTATCGGAAATCGCTCAAAAGTTGATACCAATCTACGATTTTGATAAAATACTTATATATGAAATTTCATCAACCTAGCTGTAACGGTACTCAAGTTATCGTGTTTACACACGGACACACAGACACAGAATACGGACAGAATTGCAAAGCCCAGTTTTTCAGACTGGATTACGCATAAAACCTCTTAATTTTGATAAATCTGGATTGATAATTTTTGCCTGATTAAAATAAGTCCTCTATACTCCGGATGTGATGAAGGACTGAGGAGTAAAACGGTGAAAACTGTCAAAATTTCATGTTATTTTTGTGCACGATTACAATACTTTCTCTATACGTCGTATATACGAGAAAGTAAAAATGACGAAGAAAAAGAACCACATAGCCATGAGAGCTTAGTGAAATCAGGGTTGTCCATTGGACTCAAGCCTGATATCTGAACTTAATACTTTCTAGTTAGTATTCATCTACTGTACGAACCAACATATGTTCAATGATTAGCACACCTTTACCTGAAGAAAATTCTTGTACCTTCAGGCTCCCAACAGAACGCTAGAGGACCGCATCCTCCAGGTGAACCCGCTGATGGAGGCGTTTGGTAACGCTAAGACTGTCATCAACGACAACTCCAGCAGGTTTGGGAAGTACCTGGAAATGTTTTTCACAGCCTCGTCTGGGACTGTGGTTGGTGGTGAGAACATTTGTTACATTTAAACAACAAAAGAGTTAAATAAAGCCCTTGCAGAATGGGTATGCTAATCTGTAGGAATTATTTTCCTGTCCTAAATGAATTTTCAAGGATTTAAACCCTACCTAACTACATGAGTGTTAGAAATGATCGAATTAAATACAGGGTAGCTGTGTAAATAATGAAAAGGCTGTACACATTTTTAGCGCAATTTCCATATGGACAATTGCGATTATTAACTCGTCATTTCCGGATGGATGAATGGATGGATGTATGGATGGATGTGTGTCCGCAGCTTTAAGTGGTATCTCCTCCTCAACGAAGCAATATCGAGGACTAGTTCCAAAAGCAAATATGTTAAGCAAGTTCCAAGGATGATTGTGGGCCAAAAAAATCCCGGAATTCCTTCCTGGATTTTCCGGAAAAGCCAAAAAACCTTGAACAAATGCAGTTTTTGCTCCATATCTCGGCAACTAGACCACTTAGCGACTTGAAACAATTACCAATCGATTCCTGCCATAATTTAGACCAATATTGCCGAAGAAAGTTTTCAAAAATATCCTTTCGTTCGGTCACAAAAAATTAATTAAGAACATTTAAACTGAGCATCGTTTAGGTTTTTAGCGCAAAGTTGAGGTTCGAAAGGATTTTACCATAGCGAATGAGCGGAGGTTGGAAAGGATTTTTTTTTTCGCCTGATACTAGAGGCTAGCCTGTCGCGACGTGGGATTGTTCGCGTCACTGCGCGCGGCAAGAGAGAGAGAGAGGCGAGCTACATGTCGCTCGTTTTTTTCACGTGCTAATGTTTACAAACAAGAGGGCGGGTTTTAATCATAGTCAAATACTGATATAAACGTTTCAATATTTTTTAAACTGAGCATCTTGTATAAGCGTCGTTGAAGATAAATAAGGAAATTGCGCTTAAATTGTCGCTAGACTTTTTATTAACTTGTTTTGTTAATGAAAGTAAAAAAGTTAAACTGATGCACAACTTTCACCAGCAAAAATCACAGACTATCTATATGTTTAACTGATGTACCTTTATCCTAACTATACCAAGAAAACAATCACAAGTTTAACTGACGAACCCTAACTCTAACTTTCCCCAGCAAAAATCACAGACTATATGTTTAACTGATGTATCTAACTATACTTAGAAAAAAATCACATGTTTAACTGATGAACCTAACTCTAACTTTCCCCAGCAAAAATCACTGAGTACCTGCTAGAGAAGTCCAGAGTTATCCACCAAGCCAGGTGAGTTATCCTGGAAATTTTCTTTGTCCACATTTCTCAGATGTTCATGTATCTAATCTTCTGGTCTTTTGTGTTCATCCTATCACTTCACTCCGACATTGATCTTTAAAACCACCTTAAGATCACATTATCTGTTTGATCACATCTTCATGGCCTCTACTTTACAATATTATCTAGTGTGCCAGAAGAAGAATAATTACAGCAATATTTAATGATGCATGACAACCTGCTAGTGGTACATATATTAAGTATTCAATTTCAAATTCTTGATTAAATTTTTGTTGATGTTTTAATCTTCTCTCTTTAATAATTGTATTCCCGTTACTTTTTTCATCTGAATTGATCAGTTTTTATGTGAAATATTTTGGAATCAGACAATTAACCCATGAAATTATCGATAATTAGTTTTTTAAATGCTTAACAAATTTGAAGCATATTTCATGTATAAAATAAATGGGAAGTGCATAAAAAAACATCTGCATTTATTATAAAGGATTGAAATAATCAAAAATACTTTTTAAAGTCGATGTAATTTTTCACAATTTTCTATGGTAAAATAAATTCAGTCCCACCTATCACAGTGAATCTGTTTTGTGTACAAATTTTCTTTTGTTTCTTCACAGTGGGGAGCAGAACTTCCATATTTTTTATTATTTACATGATGGTTTGATGGCCAGTCAAAGAGAGGCTGAGTATCATTTAAAGCAACACACTGTTTATAAGTGAGTCAGACCATTTTTACTGCAAGATTTTAATAAGCAACATTTTGTAGAAAAAAGGACAAGTACTATGCTTGATAAACATATTGAATTGGTGTAAAAGGTATTTTTAATATTTTTTCCAGATATATCACAGAGTACACAGAGAGGCCTTCAGAAATTTCTTCCATTTCAATCAACCGAGTCAAATTTAGAGCAATAGAACATTGTTTTGATATCATTGGGTTTAAGCAGGAGGTAAGGGTCATAGTTCATCTGAACAGCTTCATCAGACATTGATTGATTTAATAATTGATCATATATGAGATAGTTTGAAAATTTTATTCCATAACCTAAATACTAAAACGTTTTCTTTTTAAATTTGAATTACCTACTGCACCATATTTTTAAACCCAGTTTTAAAAAAAAAACTAATAAAGAGGATTTTTATCTAACCAGATCTTTAAAAACTTGCTATCCTAGGAAGTTTTAAATCCAAATTTTTAAATCTTTATTTGCCAGGAGGTGTCATCTGTTTACGCCATACTGGTAGCAATCCTACACACAGGCAACATTGAGTTTACAGCCAAAGACTCAGGGTACGGAGGGGAGGCGTGTGTTGTATCTAACACAGAGCTTATCTCAATAGGTTGGTTTCTTTAAAAAAAAGTCATACTTTTATAGAAAGTTGAGAATTACTTTTGTTTTAGCTTTGTCTCCTACCCTCCCTGTCTCCTGTATTACCTGCCTGTCCCCTGTATTACCTCCCTGTCTCCTCCTGTATTACCTCCCTGTCTCCTCCTGTATTACCTCCCTGTCCCCTGTATTACCTCCCTGTCTCCTGTCTCCTCCTGTATTACCTCCCTGTCCCCTGTATTACCTCCCTGTCTCCTCTATTACCTCCCTGTCTCCTGTAATACCTCCCTGTCTCATGTGTTACCTCCCTGTCTCCTGTATTACCTCCCTGTCTCCTCCTCTATTACCTCCCTGTCTCCTCATGTGTTACCTCCCTGTCTCCTGTATTACCTCCCTGTCTCCTCCTGTATTACCTCCCTGTCTCCTCCTGTATTACCTCCCTGTCCCCTGTATTACCTCCCTGTCTTCTCCTGTATTACCTCCCTGTCCCCTGTACTCCCCAGTCTCTGAGTTGCTGGGACTAGACTACACAGACCTGCTAGAGTGCCTTACAACCTCTGGAATGGTGGCCAAAGGGGAGGTCATCATCAGAGACAACTCAGTTCAAGAGGCCATGGATGCTAGAGACGCCATGGCCAAGGCCCTGTATGGCCGTCTGTTCAGCTGGATAGTCAACAGAATCAGTACATTGCTGAAGCCAGACCATAATGATAGAAATGTGTAAGTTACTTGCCTGTTTTTTATCTCAAGTTTTTTTTTTTTTTTTTGGTAATAATATTGTTGTTCTCCGTGTAACCGTGGAAAAAATAGAGTCTTATGTTTAAAAGTCTATCCATAAATTTTAAGTTGTTAAAAAGGCAATTAGAACCTGGTAATTTTAAGTTAATGAAATGAACATAGCGATGGGGGGGGGGGGGGGGGCTGGGGGGGTACATATGGGGGGCGCCAAAATGGGTTTGAAAAAAAATTAAAAGCTAATTTTAGCTGCAGTTTTAAATTATAAATATAAAAATATAGGGGGGGGGGGTGCGCCAAATTGAAAGTTTGTCCCCGGGCGCCGTAAGGGTTAGTAATTAATTCCTGTGATATGATCAACATCAAATACACCTAAAAATATATTTTTTGGTATCACACTGACTTGTTAAAATTGTTCTATTTCCCCATTTGAATGTAGGGATCAGTTCTATACAGTGGGGCTCCTGGACATCTTTGGCTTTGAGAATTTTAAAACCAACTCGTTTGAACAGCTGTGTATTAACATAGCTAACGAGCAGATACAGTACTACTTCAACCAGCACATCTTTGCCTGGGAATTGGTGAGTTCATTTAGTCCCTGGTGCAGGTGGAGTAGGGTTTATGTATGCATGTATCAGCCTGAGAACTGTTGAGTTGATTTATGTGTTTGCTGTTGGTCCAACAAACATAAATAGAATATTCCTATGAGTAGAGTGGAGTAGAGTTTTTGTTTATTTTTAATTGTCACATATTGATTGGATATTTGCTGTGAATTTCTTTAAGTACTCTATCTGGATCAAATAGTCTTTAGAGTAGGTGAGCTAGAGTTTATGTATTTCTGAAGTCATGATTTGAAAAGTGTGCGGTGAGTTCAGTGTCTAGTCACATGATACTGGCTCAAGCAGTGTGAGGCAGGAATATTCCACATCCTCAATCTCAAATAAGTGTTTTGTGGCTGAGATTTGAACTCACACCCTTCATGTTATCACCTGTGTGTTGTGTAACTGAGGGATGATGTAGAACCAAGGGCTACCATCCTGTGCTCATGTATTGATCTACTGCTCACACCATTACTCAGCTGGTTGAACTGCTCACCACTGAGCTCACACAAACACAGATAACAAATGTAACATGAGACCATACAAACACTGTTATCTTACAAGCTATCTCACAAATGTTTTCATGAGGGAAAAAAATCACTTTAAACCTACATTGTACTGATATCTTACTACATACATTTTTAAAAAATAAACTGACAAACCAAAGACATGTTGATACCTTGAGTTATGTAACTTTATAAAAATGAGCTTTCTCCCTCTGTAGATGGGTTTAAGTGTATTACCTCCCTTCTAGCAAACTCTGTGTTATCATTTTAATCAATGCAATTCAATACCATTTTGTAAGCCTTTTTGTATGGGTGGGTGGGTGGGGGTGGGGGGGGGGGGGGGGGTTGATAATCCACATTTGTATGAAGCTTAAGCTGAATAGCATGTTCTTGTTGCCCCAATACTGTAGGTACTTATCAAATTTGTTAATCACAATTACATTCAAATTTATATTTTTAAAATTTTAAAATATTTTATGAAGAGTATAAACTGAAGAATATCCATATCCTGAAAAAAATGTTATATTCTTAAGTTCCTTAATTTTTTTAAACCCCATATTCAGCAAGTGTTCAAAGTTAAAAAAAAAATAAATGTATCTCACTATGTTTATTCTTTAGACTAATCTATATCCTGAATATATGTATTTATTTGTATGAATCTCTTATGCTTATAAAGGAGGAGTACAAGAATGAAGAAATTGATGCCACAGAAGTGGCCTATGTTGACAACCGGCCCATCCTGGACATGGTGCTGTCCAAACCTGTTGGCCTGTTGGCCCTTCTGGACGAGGAGAGCCACTTCCCCAAGGCCACCGACTCCACTCTTGTTGGTAGGGCACCACGGCTTAACTGTTTGAGAACCTCTCTAATGAATTGTGTTGTCCTTCTTTAAATCATGTGACATAAAAGTTTATTTTACTTACTACCATCATTGGTTATGAAATTATTGTTACTGTTGACAGAAAAGTTTCATAAGAACATCAAATCATCTATCTTTAGTAGGCCTATATGTTACATAAAACTTTTATTATACTCACAATGACCATTGGGTACAAAAAAAATATTTTTTTTTACTTTCGACAGAAAAGTTTCATCAGAACATCAAATCATCTATTTATTCACGGCCAAAATCCAATGAGCTTTCCTTTGGTATAGATCATTATGCAGGCAAGGTAAGTGTTTGATGCTTGCGTTAACTCTCTGACTTAGGTGATTTATCTGGCTGCATGATGCTAGTTGAATGTAGTTCTATGTGTGTGTTTGACTTCGGTAGTCTTTGGCTGAATATTTGTGTCACATTATTTTGAATGTGCCCATATTTCACATTAACATCCTCCCCCCCATGTAAATGTGTACATCATCTTTATGTTTTCACAATTTTTACCAGAATAACACCCCATTTATGTGTGTTCGATTTTATCATCAATAAGTTTTCCTTATTTCACCTGTATATGATCAATATGTTTTCCCTATCTCACCTGTATGACACCCCGCATATATATGTGTGGAAGCATCATCAGTTTTTCCCTAACCCACCTGTATAACAACCCCCATATGTGTGTGTTTGTTTGATTGTATCATCTATAAGTTTTCCTTATTTCACCTGTGTATGATCAATATGTTTTCACTATCTCACCTGCATGACCCCCCTCTTCATCACTCCTGCGTGAGTGTGTATGTGTGTGAGTATCATCAATATGTTTTCCCTATCTCACCTGTATGACCCCCCCCCCCCCTCATCACTCCTGTGTCCCCCCCAACAGGTGGAGTATGACGCCCAGGGTTTCCTGGAGAAAAATCGTGACCGCCTTCCTTCAGAGATCACCAACATCATGAGGATGTCTGAGAACAGTGTGGTCAAATCTCTGTTCCAAACTCCTCTAACAAAAACAGGTAGGTCAAGTTTGTGTGGTCAAATCTCTGTTCCAAACCCCACTCACAAAAACAGGTGGGTCAAGTTTGTGTGGTCAAATCTCTGTTCCAAACCCCACTCACAAAAACAGGTAGGTCAAGTTTGTGTGGTCAAATCTCTGTTTCAAACCCCACTCACAAAAACAGGTGGGTCAAGTTTGTGTGGTCAAATCTCTGTTCCAAACCCCACTCACAAAAACAGGTAGGTCAAGTTTTTTTCTGTCAAGCCTCTGTTCCAAACCCCACTCACAAAAACAGGTTGGTCAGGTCTAACTGCTAGGTGCAGTTATTGTCCAATTATTAACTGTTATGGAACGAAAACAAAATCCAATTTCTAAAGTAATATAAACTAAACATAAAAAAAGAAAATTTTTGAAAACTAAAATCTTTAAGAACTTCTCCATATCAGTATGGGTTAATGCTTTGAAGAAGATTCTGAGTTATCATCTCTTGAATCTCATGAACTTTTGACTCTTGGTTTGTAGTAAGCCCCTCTACCACTCTACCACCTATTTACTGTCTTCACTTCATCCAAAGTACGGGGCAAACTGTTGAATGCTGCACAATTTATTTCATGCAATAATTCCCACACCCCAGCAGTTTTTGTTAACTCTGTAGACACCAGCCTACAATTTCCCACACCCCAACAGCTCTGTCAAATCTCTTGACCCCCACAATTTCTCCCACACCCCAACAGCTGTTAAATCCCTTGACTCTCACAATTTCCCACACCCCATCAGCTTTGTTAAATCTCTTGACCCCACAATTTCTCCCACAATTTCCCACACCCCAACATATCTGTTAAATCTCTTGACTCTCCCACAGGTAACCTCCAAAGTGGCAGCTCCAGGAACAGCAGTCGAGGTGGTAGCCCCATGTCCACATCCCCAGGTGTAACAATAGCCACCTACACGTCTAAAGGCTCCAGCCTTGGTGGGAGCAGGGTAAGTAGAAATATATTTTATTCCAGGAGGAGGGGGAGTGGGGGGGGGGGGGGATTGAGAAGTTATGTAAATGTCAAACACTGAGTTTACAATATGAACCTAGATTTTAAAATATTTAGGTATATCACTCTGTTAGCTTATCTATTTTCATTGGACAAAAATATAATCAAATTAATGCTGTTGGGTTGCATGAGGAAGCCTTTTAAATGCATGGAAAAAAAACTGTAACTCTATTTAGAAATTCTTATCATTTACTTTAGGATCTTTGCATGCTAGAAGCATAATCTATATACATTTGTATTGAACTGTTTTTTAGCACTTCACATCACTGTCTTCATTGTTGCAATGTTGAGTACCCGATAGTTTGTGCAAAATGAGTTTTTTATGTCTTGGATACACATTACCAAATAAATGGGTTGAAGCAATTGTGTCAAAAAATGTCTGTTTCAACTGATTTCCTGGGCTATAGGCATCTATACAATCTAATGATTTCCTTGGTGATGGCAGCTATACAATCAAATAGTTTCTAAGTAGTTTTCCTAAAAAAGTAATTCAAATATAACAAAAAATAATCAACTATAAATTGAACAATGGATTGGTACATTTGTTTATAATATTTAGCTCAGATTCAAATGTGGAATCTTAATTTTATTAACAGTTTACATAAAGCCAACTATAAGCTGAGTAAAGCACCACTTTAACATTACACACTCTATGATTTATTCTCATCACAAATATTATGTGATTGTATGAGAAACTTGGGCCACTAAAACAAGGTACTCTAGGTCTAGGATTAATTCTCATAACAAATTTTAGATGGTAGTATGAGGAAGTGGTAGCACTAAACAATGTACTGTCTGTGGTCTCATAACAAATAGTTTTATGTTGTATGAGGAATTTGCGCCACTAAAACAACATACTGTATGTGGTCTAGAATAAATTCTCATAACAAATGTTACGTAGTAGTATGAGGAACTTGTGCCACTAAAACAACATACTGTCTGTGGTGTAGTATAAATTCTCATAACAAATGTTACGTGGTAGTATGAGGAAGTGGTACCACTAAACAATGTTCCATCCCTGGTTTCAGATATATTCTCATCTAGTAAGTATAGTAGCCCTCCAGTCAGCTTGACCATTGCTAACTACAGTTCTGACTCTTTGCCAGGGCGGAAAAATCCCAAATATTTATTTATTTACAACCCTGTAACTGTTTCATTCATTTTTTTTATATTTCAGTTGAAATTTTTGCCGTATAAATAATCAATTAATATTATTACATTCTAACAGACTTAAACAATGAAACGAAACAAATAATTAAGTTTGTTTTAATGTTTATTAATCCAAATAGCCATCAGTTTTTAAAAATAAAATTAAAAAAATGTCATGAAACTACATTAGGGTTTCTGTAAAAGAAGAGTTCATGTATTTACTAACAGGATTTGATTAGACCTGACTACTAACCATGTTTGCCTGTGTTTGCCTGCATGAACTTAAATCTAATCTGATTGTTTCCTCTAAAGCGTGCCTTCCTTCAAATCAAGGTTCATATCAACATTTTTCCATTATGTGTCCAGATTTTTGTTCCTTTGAAAGCCAAATCAATAAAACCTTCACATTCTCATAATTTGCAGAGTGCTGAACCTTTATTTTATTTAGTTGACTACTCCACTCAGACATTTGATGCCAGTTTTGAATATATTGACATTGTTTCCAGGTTTATAGCTATACATGTTAGAAGAGTTCAACGTTTTTCCCAAAACAATTACGTTTAATTTTTTTTTTTTACTTTTTTTAGTTTTACATAAGTGTATAGGAGCATCCTTATCAAACAATTTAGAAATAATTTCTTAAGCAACCTACCATGCCACAGTGTTTTCCTAAAGTTTGATGTAGACAGGCACACCCCAGCCTAGCTCTTACTAAATCAGTACACCACCTTTAACCATTTTTAGTTTAGATTTCAATTAGTAGATCCAATTTTTTTTTTTGTATTTTAACAACCAATTTTCTTATTTCAAGTGTGGTTTGATAAACATATCATTAATTATTATGCAGAAAATGCTTTCACAGAAAATTGAAGTTTGATTTTTTTTTTATCTTGCCTTAACTTTAAATTTAATTCCAACATATTTGTTATGATAATGAAACCCAGCCACCCCCTAGAGTTATTTCCCTTTATCACTTGCTTTTTTTTTTCACAATGTTAAAAATTGTTTAAAGCTTTTTTGTCTAGTAGATCTAGTAGCAATAGTATTAGGTTAAAGTAGTACTACATATTAGGAATTATTTTGTTAAAGAATTTTTTTATGCTGAATACTTCTCTGTTTAGTAGCAAATTATTATTAATGTTATCATAACTAAGTACTGGCAACTCATTATTATGTAAAAATTGAGCTGAAAAGTTCAAAGGGCTTAAACAGTCTAACTTAAGTAATTATTTTAAAAAATCAAGCCTAGTTACTAAGCTTCTGCAATTTTGCAGCTATTAGACTTGTCGTTATAATAATAATTTAAAAATAAAACCTCTGAAACCACAAAATCATACAAAGCATTGATGAGTAATATGTACTGAGCAATACTTTTACTTTCAATAATCAACATGATAAATTAGGCAATATAAAAATTAAATATAGTTTAATTTTATTGAACTTTCTGTATGATCATTTTAAGTGTTGAGGTCTAATTTGGATTGGCCGTAAGAAATTAGTTTAAAAAAATTTAAATAATGAAATTAAATAATCATTTTAGAGCAGTAGATCTGTATGTGCAACAAAAAATGTATTTATATAAGGATGTCACTCCATACGTTCATAATGTGTACTGTGTTTTACAAGATGTAAGACGAAGTAGAAAATTAGGGTCACATTTAAATTAGCTAGAAATATACTTATGATTAATTTTATTTTTATAAAAAAGCCAGATTATGTTAAGTAGTTTAATGATTAATTTCAATAACTTTATTTGAAAAGCCAGAACATGTTATGCAGTTTTGATTAATTTCATTATATGTAAACCTTTTTTTAAAAACTATTTACAGCATGCCCAAGGGTCAGCCAGTATGACACGTATACAACAGACAGTGGCCACGTACTTCAGGTACTCATTGATGGATCTGCTCAACAAGATGGTGTCTGGTACACCCCACTTTGTCAGGTAAATATGGTGTCTGGGACACCCCACTTTGTCAGGTAAATATGGTGTCTAGTACCCCCAACCTTGTCGGGTAAATATGGTGTCTGGTACACCCCCCCCACTTTGTCAGGTAAATATGGTGTCTGGTACACCCCACTTTGTCAGGTAAATATGGTGTCTGGGACACCCCACTTTGTCAGGTAAATATGGTGTCTGGGACACCCCACTTTGTCAGGTAAATATGGTGTCTGGTACACCCCACTTTGTCAGGTAAATATGGTGTCTGGTACCCCCCCCCCCCACTTTGTCAGGTAAATATGGTGTCTGGTACACCCCACTTTGTCAGGTAAATATGGTGTCTGGGACACCCCACTTTGTCAGGTAAATATGGTGTCTAGTACCCCCAACCTTGTCGGGTAAATATGGTGTCTGGTACACCCCCCCCCCCCACTTTGTCAGGTAAATATGGTGTCTAGTACCCCCAACCTTGTCGGGTAAATATGGTGTCTGGTACACCCCCCCCCCCACTTTGTCAGGTAAATATGGTGTCTGGTACACCCCACTTTGTCAGGTATAAATATTTTAGGAATCTGTTATTCAGTGTTATAACAAGTTTTGGTTAAAAAATTTCTTTAGAGAAGTTATTCTTCCTTTTTTATGAACATTATTTAATTTATTTCTAGAATGTAATTTATTATTACTCTCACATAAAAAATTAAAGATGGAATATGTGTAAATTTGTGTGTAATTTAAAAAAAAAATATCTCGTCAGGTGTTTAAAGCCCAATGACACCAAAGAGCCAGGCCACTTCAACTCCGAGCGCATCACGACACAGCTGCGTTACACAGGTGTTCTGGAGACCACACGCATCAGGCGCCAAGGCTACTCACATAGGATCGTCTTCTCAGAGTTCTTAAAGAGGTGAGTACATTCAGTCAGTTAAGGTATATCTCAGAGTTCTTAAAGAGGTGAGTACATTCAGTCAGTTAAGGCATATCTCAGAGTTTTTAAAGAGGTGAGTACATTCATTCAGTTAAGGTATATCTCAGAGTTCTTAAAGAGGTGAGTACATTCAGTTAAGGCATATCTCAGAGTTCTTAAAGAGGTGAGTACATTCAGTCAGTTAAGGTATATCTCAGAGTTCTTGAAGAGGTGAGTACATTCAGTCAGTTAAGGTATATCTCAGAGTTCTTAAAGAGGTGAGTGCATTCAGTCAGTTAAGGCATATCTCAGAGTTCTTAAAGAGGTGAGTACATTCATTCAGTTAAGGTGTATCTCAGAGTTCTTAAAGAGGTGAGTACATTCAGTCAGTTAAGGTATATCTCAGAGTTTTTAAAGAGGTGAGTACATTCACTTAAAGAGGTGAGTACATTCAGTCAGTTAAGGTATATCTCAGAGTTCTTAAAGAGGTGAGTACATTCATTCAGTTAAGGTATTATGGGATGCTGAGTTTGGGAACAGTCATATGGGGTTTATATGAGGTGTTGGTTTTGGTGTTAGTACATTCATTCAGTTAAGGTATGTATGGGGTGCTGAGTTTGGGAACAGTCATTTGCCAAGGTCACAGAAACAAGTGAACTCTACTTCACTTGCCCCGTTGACTGTCAGGTTTGAAAGAAAACTTTACTTATTTACAGTTGGGGTTTATATGGATGTTGGGTGTGATGAAGAATAAGGCAGTAATTACCTGTAAATATTTTTTGTATGTTTAAAGGCAGCGATTACCAATATATGATGAATGTTTGATTAATTCACCATTCTTGCACCATTTTCAAAAATCAGCATGAAAATTTATTCATAATTATGTAAAAAAGTAAAAAAAATGTACCAGTATTAAGATATTTTTTAATTATTATATTTCTGGGTAAATTAAAAAATATTTTAGGCAAATCATTGATGCATGCATTGATCTACTATAACTAAAGCGATAAAATTATTAATATGGCTTATGGTAGCAGGTACCATCGTCATCTTTGCTCATTTGAGCCCAACACACATGGGACAGATAATGCAGAGTTTATTTTTTTAAATGAACTCAGCATACAGAGGGTTAGGGTCGGCACAATGCCCAGCCACCTTTGTTTCCCTAACATGAGTCAGGTACCCATCAGAGCTGAGCGAGCTCAGGGACATTCTACAGACTCAAGCCTGGATCCAAACCCAAGACTTTTGAGTTTATAGTCATGAGCTCTACCATCTAACCATGCTCTCCCCCAACATAGTTAAAGTTGAAGAAATTCCAAATGTTGCAGGTACCACGCCCTGGGTTTCAGGCACGATGAAGCTGTATCAGTGAATGGCGCCAGCTGCAGCCGCCTGCTAGACAACCTGGGCATGACAAACTACGCCATTGGCAAGTCCAAGGTTGGTATGCCCCATATGATCCTGATAGCACTCACTTTCCAAACTCAGATTCTTGCCGCAGGTTTTTTTGTTAATATGGCTTCTAGATCTATATCCGCCTGCCATTGATATTTTATTCGGGTATTTTTAGTAGCATATCAGATTAATTTTTTAAAATTCTTAATTTAATTTAATACCAATTGTTCTGTTAAAATTGTTTGCATTTATGTAAGTTTATTTTATCCAGAAACAAATCATGTGTGTAACAAAATGTATAGTAGCTAGACTAATATATGTGTAACACTTGTAGTGCTCATGTTGATACAGAAGTTTATATTCTTACTGAGAGATATGAAATACAGTATATTCATAAATGGTCTTAGCTCAAAACATTGGGGTTGCTATTACTAATGTATAACATGACACAAATGACTCTTTTATTCATATTAAAGATTAAATGGTGTTAATTTAATTGTTTTAAGATTTTAATCTAGGCCTCAGTAGCATCAGAAGGTTGATGAATTCACTCCCCCTCTCCCTCCAACATCGCCGGATTTTTATATTGGTGTCCCCCTATTCACTTATTTTAGTATGTCATCCGGATAAATTATTGTTTTGATAGTAAATTATACAATTTTTTAAAATTTTGATGTCACCCCCTAAATGGTGTGAACTGGTGCGGACTGCACCCCCTCCCCCGCACTGGGGTGCTACTGCCCGGACTTATCAGAGACGATATTTGTAAATTGTTTGTTTCATGCTTTTGTTTCCATCTGATGTTCCTTCAGCCTGTTATGTTGTTACCAGGTGTTCCTGAAGTACTACCACGTAGAAGATTTGGCCCAGCGCTATGAAGATATGTGCCAGAAAATAGTTCGAGTCCAGTCCTACATACGTATGTGGCTGGCACGTACCAGGTTCTACCAGTTTAGATGGAGGAGGGAGAAAGCCAGCATTGTCATACAAAAACGTGAGTCTGGCTAACTCTGTTTTTTTCTAAGAGTTTGCTTTAATTATTTCCCTTTAATATTTTTTACTTTTATAATCAGGTTATCTCCCTTGACTAAACATTTTTTATTTTCCTTTATAACATTTTTTCTTAAATTAACTGAACATAATATAAAGTCATTAATATTTGTTCTAAAGATATGAGAGGATTTGTTACAAGGAAAAAATACACAGCAATCAAAAATCAAAGAAATGAGGCAGCCACTACAATACAAAAAGGTAAACAATTGTGTGATTAGTTCATGTAGAGATGTTGCAGTGATAGGTCACTTTTGTTTATATTGTGAAAGGTCACTTTTTGTTTATCTTGTGTGGTGATGAAAGGTCACTTTTTGTTTGTCTTGTGTAGCAATGAAGGTCACTTTTGTTTATTTTGTAGTAATGAAAGGTCACTTTTGTTTTTTATTGTGTATTATTAAAAGGTCACTTTTGTTTTTTGTGTATTATTAAAAGGTCACTTTTGTTTTTTGTGTATTATTAAAAGGTCACTTTTGTTTTTTTGTGTATTATTGAAAGGTCACTTTTTTAAAATTGTGTAGCAATGAAAGGTCACTTTTTGTTTGTCTTGTGTAGCAATGAAAGGTCACTTTTTGTTTGTCTGGTGTAGCAATGAAAGGTCACTTTTTGTTTGTCTTGTGTAGCAATGAAAGGTCACTTTTTGTTTGTCTTGTGTAGCAATGAAAGGTCACTTTTTGTTTGTCTTGTGTAGCAATGAAAGGTCACTTTTTGTTTGTTTTGTGTAGCGATGAAAGGTCACGTAGCCAGGAAAAAATACAAGCCTGTCATAGCCAAGAGAAGGGAGGCCGCAGTGGTCATCCAGGCCAATGTCCGAGGCTACCTGTGCAGGAAGAAGGTCCAGCACATGAAGGTCATCAAGGAGGAAGAAGAGGTCCAGACTAGGAAGGAGATGGAGGATGAGAAGGCCAAGAAAATACAAAGATGTGAGTACAGGTCATTCTGATGGTCAGTTGTTAACATGCCAGTAGTCTGTAGGTCATCATGTGAGTGTTGGTCATTCTGTTGAAACATGTCAGTAGTTTGTTGGTCATGTGAGTGTTGGTCATTCTGATGGTCAGTTTAACAGTGTGTCAGTATTTTGTAGGTCATCATGTGAGTGTTGGTCATTCTGACGGTTAGTTGTTAACTTGTCAGTAGTTTGTAGGTCATTATGTGAGTGTTGATCATTCTGATGGTCAGTTTAACCATATATCAGTAGTTTGTAGGTCATCATGTTAGTGGTGGTCATTCTGATGGTCAGTTGTTAAGATGTCAGTAGTTTGTAGGTCATTATATGAGTGGTGGTCATTCTGATGGTCAGTTGTGAACTCATGTCAGTAGTTTGTTGGTCAACATGTAAGTGTTGGTCATTCTGATGGTCAGTTTAACCGTATGTCAGTGGTTTGTAGGTCATCATGTGAGTGGTGGTCATTCTGATGGTCAGTTGTTAAGATGTCAGTAGTTTGTTGGTGATCGTGTGAGTGTTGGTCATTCTGATGATCAGTTGTGAACTCATGTCAGTAGTTTTTAGGTCATCATGTGACTGTTGGTCATTCTGGTCGTCAGTTGTTAACTTATGTCAGTAGTTTGTAGGTCATCATGTGAGTGTTGGTCATTCTGATGATCAGTTTAACCATATGTCAGTAGTTTGTAGGTCATTATGTTAGTGTTGGTCATTCTGTTGGTCAGTTCTTAACATGTCAGTAGTTTGTAGGTCATCATGTGAGTGTTGGTCATTCTGATCGTCAGTTGTTAACATGTCAGTAGTTTTTTGGTCATTCTGATGGTCAGTTGTTAACATGACAGTAGTTTTTTGGTCATTCTGATGGTCAGTTGTTAACATGACAGTAGTTTTTTGGTCATTCTGATGGTCAGTTGTTAACATGACAGTAGTTTTTTGGTCATTCTGATGGTCAGTTGTTAACATGACACTAGTTTTTTGGTCATTCTGATGGTCAGTTGTTAACATGACAGTAGTTTGTAGGTCATCATGTGAATGTTGGTTATTCTGATGGTCAGTTTAACCGTATGTCAGTAGTTTGTTGGTCATTATGTGAGTGTTGGTCATTCTGGTCGTCAGTTGTTAACATGTCAGTAGTTGCCAGAAACAAGTTCCTGTTGTCTTCTACATTTTTTTTTCAGAACCAGTGTGACTATAGGTTTAGCCACATGTGTGGTTTTATGTATTAATTTATCAGATGTTGTGTGGCTATTATCTGTTGCATATTAAGTAGATGACATAATCTGTTGTATATTAAAGATGACATAATTTGTTGTATAAGTAGATGAGTATTATATGTTTTGTAAATGACATACTTTGTTGTACATTGTATAGAGGACATGATTGTGTTGTATGTTTTGTAGATGATCTTATTTGTTGTATGCTTTGTAAATGACACAATTTGTTGTATATCGTTCAGATGACATACTTTGTTGTATGTTGTACAAATAACATTATTTGCTGCAAGTTGTACAGATGATATTAATTTGTTGTATTTTGTAAACATTACATAATTTGCTATATGTCAACAGATTACAGAAGACAAGATGAAAAAGACAGCCAATGTGTAGATGACATAATTTGTTGTATGTTGTATGGATGACACATTTAGTTTGTTGTAAACATGACATAAATTGTTGCATGCTGTACATATTACAGAAGACACTGTGAAAAAGACAGCCAATGTGACATAATTTGTTGTATTTGTGGTGATGTCAGAATTTATTGTATGTTGTGTAGATGATATTATTTGTTGTTCTTCTTCTTTGTTCTTAATTTTTAGTGTTGGAAGGGATCGAGCCTTATCTGCCAGAGGGTTTGAACCCGAAACTTTTTCGAAAGTATCAACCATAAGCTTTTTTGCTGACTCGACCACGCCTCCATCACAATTAAGGATACGTGTCAACTGGTTATGCGCAATTGAGGCCATTGACTTCGATTTGAGCATGCTTTTCTTTTTGGATTTGTTTCCATAGCCTTTGTCCAACCAAGAACAAACTACAAGGCAGCAGTTGTTTAATTTTGGAGTTGTCTCTCCTAGAAGAGTGGCTGTCCCCAGCTAACGAGCCTCATCTGCCCGAGGGTTCGAACTCGAGACTTTTCGGTTTAGCAACCATGAGCTTTACCGACTCGACCATGGCGACCCCTTATTATTTGTTGTATGTTGTATAGATTACAATTTTTTTTTATATATTATACAGATTACAGAAGACACCGCGTGAAAAAGACAACAAATGCCAGAGTTGAGGCGAGGAAGAGAAAGGAAAAGTCGGCCGTGAAGATCCAGTCTTTCTATCGCATGTGGAAAGCCAGGGTGGCCTACAGTAAACTCATGAAGGAGCGGAGCAGGCAGGCGGCCAAACTTGTTTTATTTGGCCAACAGGTACTGTGTGGGGAGGTCTTGTGGGTTAGATTTATTGTTTGATGGAAGTTTGTATTGATGGGGAGATCAGCTGTTTGGGGAGGTCTTGTGGGTTAGGTTTATTGTTTGATGGAAGTTTGTATTGTTGCGGAGATCAGCTATTTGGGGAGGTCTTGTGGGTTAGATTTATTTTTTGATGGAAGTTTGTATTGTTGGGGAAATCAGCTGTTTGGGGAGGTTTGTCATGGTGGATGATCTGTTGTGTAGGGGAGATTTGTCTTGTGAGAAGGTTTCTATTGTGTGGGGAGATTTGTCTTGTGAGAAGGTTTCTATTGTGTGGGGAGATTTGTCTTGTGAGAAGGTTTCTATTGTGTGGGGAGATTTGTCTTGTGAGAAGGTTTCTATTGTGTGGGGAGATTTGTCTTGTGAGAAGGTTTCTATTGTGTGAGGAGATTTGTCTTGTGAGAAGTTTTCTGTTTTGTGGGGGAGATTTGTCTTGTGAGATGTTTTCTATTGTGTGGGGAGATTTGTCTTGTGAGATGTTTTGTGTTGTGTGAGGAGATTTGTCTTGTGAGAAGTTTTCTGTTTTGTGGGGGAGATTTGTAGGTTGGAGTAAATCTCTTGTGTGAGGAGTTTTGTAATAAACTACTGATGCTGTGTGGAGATCTGTGTTAAATGGGGGAGTTTGTGATGCAGGGTGCTAATAATTACAGTACATGTACAAATATTTGATAAAGTAAACAAAAACTAAATGATGGCTGCCATGAACTGAATTATCCCGTTATGAAACTGGTTGTTATTTATGTCCCTTGTGTGTGCTTTGTCTCCACAGTTAGAAGACCAGATTGAGGTACCAAGCACATCTCCTGCTGAAATATCCCAGAGTTCTTTGAACAACTCACCCAGTAAAAAGGTAAACTAATTAGAGAAACCAGTTAAATAACATCTGACTCAGCTCAGCTTAAAAGCATCACGTTATAAAAAAGTTTATTAGTTATTTATTTTTTATTATTATTTAAAAAAATTTTTGTTTTCTTATTGTGTATAGAGTAGTAATTTTTGTTTACCTTGACCTTGCCATGCAGGTGTGGGAGAGCCTGACAACAGCAGACGTCAGCGAGTCCAGGCTGGAACAGATGAAAAAAATGAATGACGTCAAGGAGCTGATGCCTCAGACAGAGGCTGATTACTATGATATGGTGAGTAGGGACTTTGGTTATCTCCCTTTCTGTACTGTCTCTGTGTACATGGGCGCCCACTGCTTAATTAAATCATTTAGGTTAGCTCCCCTGAAACAAACTGATAAACATGAAAGCAACATATGTAAAAAAAATTATCTTAATATGGATTAGGATTAATTAAAGATTCAGACAAATTTAATTAATGAAGGTGGTGGGTATAACCACACAAACCCTTGATGCCAAAAAAGCAGATGAGCACTTCTTCCTCTTCCTATAGATGGTAGAACCATCTGATCTGTTAGAGACTTGTACTTAAATGTCAATTTTTTTTAGCTGTTATTGACATTACCATCATCATTATCTTCTCCCGCTCGTGCCCAAGACTGGGTTAGATGAAGTAGAGTTTATGTGTTTCATATATGAGGGTATAAGGTCATCAGCATTTTTCCAAGCCGCCTATGTTTCCCGTTGATGATCCAGGTACCCATTAGAGCTGGATGGTCTCAGAGACATTCGCCAGCCACGAGCCCGGTATCCCAACTCGAGACATTCGGGTTAGCACTCCATTCAACCACGCTGTTCCCGTGGTGGTATGGTCAAATGATAGAGCCAGTAAGTTTGAAACAAATGTCTTAAGTTCAGTACCATAAAACCACCTATAAATACATGAGTTGAGCTAAGATTTTGGATGCCTAGCTCACCCAAACAGAAGAACTCTAGATCATTTTCCCATCTTGGCATTCAAATCTAAGAGCTCAATTGTTCCCCAGTGGCTCCTTTTGCCTTCAGAGACAATGGGCACACCCAGAGAAGTAAAATCCTCAGGACACATACCAGGGCATTAAATAAAGAGATGGTTGCCCGTGTATCGTGATCTCTCTCTCTGTATCATGAACCCCCTCTCCACCTTGGCTGGTTGAGTCTAAAGCAATGTTAGGCATTACGTTTGGTACTCTGGTTGTTGAAGATACCAAGAAGAAACTAGAGTTAGTCAGAGTTTATCAGGTGCTGTTTGAACTCCAAGATGTGTTACTAAACATAGCTATTGAGCATCATTTGCTGTGTGCTCTATCACGTACCCTCCCCCCCCCCTCTTTCTACTCCCCACCCACACTAATTTTCTTGCAAAAATATGCTTGTGGGCGCCCATGTGTTAACTTTTATAATCATGTATGTGCGTTGGTTAGCTGTGACTTGTGCAACTATGCAGTAGGTGACTGACTCTTGATGTGGAAGACTGGTATGGTGGCTTGACTGTTACGATTGGCGCATACTACTGGTACTTGGTATGGAGGACTCATCATACTGACGTGTAGGTGGTCTGACTCTTAGGACCTACAGATGGGAGAACTGACTCTTAGGTCGACTGACGCCTAGGTTGACTGACGCACGCGAGGCCTGACTCGCGCTCTGACCGACACGTCGTCTTACTAGACTGATTCAGAGTTTACAATACAGACTCATTTACTCAGCGACTCACTCATTCACTGACTCACTCATTAACTGACTCATTCATATACTAACTCACTCATTCACTGACTCACTTATTAACTGACTCACTTATTAACTGACTCACGGACCTACAATGTTCACTCACACGTTATCTTCAAGCCACTCACTAAAACACTTACCATTCACAATACAGGTAATGGAATCACCTGCTGAAATCTTCCCTCTTTACTGTCACCACCACCCCCTCCCCTCTCTCCCCCTCCCAGCACTTACGGCTTTCTAACATTTAAAAAATTAAAAGTGGCTGGACATAGAATTGACCCCACCATCTCATCTTGGTCAGAGAACGATCTACCATCTGGAAACACCCCCCCCCTACCCTCTGCATTGATTGATGGGCTGGGGGAACTACAATGTAATCAGCCCCACCCAAATTTGTGTGTAAAACTCACTAAAGTACAGTAACAAAAACCAACAATTTTTGCCCTCACTAGTATTTCAGATCTTGCCCAATTTGGCTGTACTACAATTACCCCCCCCCCCCCCTCTCCTCCCAGTGTAAGATAAACGTTCCCCCTCCATTCGACTCCACCAAATTGAAGCTAAAAACAGACACTGAGCACCCAGCTCCCCCAATCAATGATTGACCACTAAACCCATACACAATCAATTTGTTTTGGCTTCTGTTGTTTCTCACCTTCAGTTACCAGTTGTACCTCCAATGTCTATTTCCATACACCCCCTCCACCCCCCTTCCACCAAAGCGCCCCCCCCCCCCCTGACAGTATTTTTAAACCATTCCCTATACGGCTGAATTTAATTGTGTTTGTTTTTAGGTTTAGTTTCTGACTGACTTAAAGTGCATGAATACATTATGGCCATTGTTGGTGTGTGTTATGTCTCACATGCCGTGAATAAGGCCGGACTGTTTGTTGGTGTATGCTCTTGATGCGCGTATTATTGTGTCTGTGGTCTCTGGTGGAGAATTTAACTCCATTGTAACATTTTTTTTAATTGTCAGTTGTACTTTATTTGCGCTTTTTTTTTTTTTTTTTTTTTTTACAAGTTTCCTGATATCATTTGTCCGTGAGATATTTTGTCTGAGATCAATTGTCCTGGGATCATTTGTCCTGTCACCATCTAACTACAAACACAAACTTTAGATGGCGTATCTGTGTAGTGGGTGAGGGCTGGGGGAGTAAACTTTTCGAACTTGCTTCAGACAAACAACTTAAGATGGGCTGGGACGTAGAGGTTCTGCTTGTGACACTTTGCTTGTTTACGTTGAACATCCACCCCGAATGGAAAATTATCTCAGTTAACCTCTTTAATCCGGAACGGATTTCAATGTGAAATCCCTAATTAGCGAATGTCCTACCCTAAATCTTCGCAGCTGTAGCCGAACATGGCATCGCACGGTGCTACGTCCGTTATTAGATGGGTAGTGTGTGCCCCGGGGGCTGGGGAAGATCTGAGCCCCTCTCCCCCCACCCCCACCCCCCTTGTGTGTGTGGTGGAATTAGTTTCCACTCCTCCAGTTTTTGGACGAGCCCCACTAATTTGAAGGCATGTTGGTTTTGTTGATACAACTCATCTTTGTGATATATCGCTGAAATAATTGAATCGTCTTTAAATAGGGGTGTTAGTTATAGATATAACTTGCAAACGTCATTGTTAAACCCATCCCCAAGCCAAACCATAAGCTAAACTATTCAGTAGTCCTTACAGTAATTTTGACCTTTAACGTTAAACATCAGGTCACAGTCGTTCTAACAACCTAACACACCTTTTTTTCGGAAGAGTCTTTGTCGGACATCGCTAATAGGGCTGGTAAGTAGGTCACCAACCAGTTCTACGGCTCAATAAAACTGCAGGAGCCATAGAACCTATAGGCTATTCCTTGTTTTCTTTGAACGTCTGACGTCACATTCCCTCCCCTCTCTGCGCTTGTTTACATGACGACAGTTTAGCCTGTTTCTTTCTTCTAATTAAATATGTTTCTGGGTCAGTTTGCTTCCGATAATTAAATACACACAATCTTAAATGATTAATTAACTTTAAACAGTCTGAAAGGAAAACTGGTTTTGTTTATAAATAACCTTTAAATAATAAATTAGATCGCATCTTTTTTTTTTGTTTACTTTAAGGCCTATAATTTCGATCCGTTAATTTAATGTAAGTATGCAACCAGTCGACGAACGGGTAGTTAATGAGTTTTATTCAAACGAAAAACAACAGCCTTTCAGTAAATTGTAAACAATTCTACGTTTGAAGGTTTTCTCACAGTTCAGGGGAAGCTACTCTTGTTTGTTTGGCGACCGTTAATGGCGTCCGTCCATTCAAAATATGCCATGCTATTTTTAGCAGTCTGTACTTTATTTTGGGGTCTATTAATGTCCTCCGCGCAATGATGTGAAGTCGGTGGATGAAGACTTTTTACCGCGGGAAACAGGAAGCCTTGGAGTTGATTTCAAATTGACCCCTGCCACGGCAGCCGATAGGCGGCTTCCATTTACAGTGATGTCGTGACTGTGTAATGACATTTAGATACCAACCCATCCCCTTTCCCACTATTGTACACTACTAAATATATCATTGTCGTCTAGATATTATGAAACTTTTTTAAGGTCGCTAAATAGTATCACTTTCGTCTAAATATTCCAATTATGAAACTTGTTTAAGGTCACTAAATAGTATCAGTCTCGTCTAAATATAAAAGTTATCTAACCTTCCAAGTTTGTTTTATTTTGGGTTTCATTCATTATTCCAAGAAAACAAAATCTTCGCAGTTTTTCTTACGGAATGTATTAATATATTCAAAATTATTTTTTACTAATGATTTTCATGACATCACTTTGTCTAGATTGAGGTATGGTGTTGTGTTCAGACGAACTGTATATGATAGGATACGCCCTCCCCCCCTAGATAAGCTTTCCCTCGCAGGTAGTCCCCCCCCCTTAAATAGGCTACCACTCACGGGAAATCTTGCCCTCGCAGGTACGCTACTCTTCCCGTATACCATCTCGTGTAGTGTAGACAATGCTAGTTAAGATTAAACCAATATAAGTCCCACAATCAGCCACACTGACAATGTAACAATTGTATGATACTACTAACCCAGAAAGTCCTCGGTCTGATGCCAGCGACCCCTACTGTCCTGAATGGTACCCTGTGTCGCCCTGCAGGGTTTTCCTCTACTGCTTACATTCCTACTGGGCTTGGAACCTCATGTGCAGCTTATGCTGCTGGTCAACCTCCTTAGTGCTAGAAGCTATCAGGTCGCCCGCACCTGATGTAACTAGAGGGAGAGGGCTCAGACTTTCATGCTGCGTAGAAAAGCGGTTGGGGGGGGGTGTTAAGGGTATGATATGAAGGATAGATTTAGTATTTCTTAGGAAAAAAAAAAGTTTAAAATGATGATTTGAAATAGTATAGGGTGAGGGACCGACCTTTGGGGTGAACAGTATCGTGAGATTTTGATGACAACATGTCATGATTGGAGGAGAATGGGGTATGGGTGGGTGGGGTGGGTCAGTAATACCTAGTGGATGACTTGGTGGGTAGAG